TAGGGGGTTTCTCTCCTCTTAGAGTATCCACATCATCAAAACAAACAATTTTTTTATAAATCTATATATTTCATATATATTTTAATTGATATTAATTGTAGTTTTAATGCATAATTCTCAATTTATATAATACAAAACACAAAAATTAAGTAAATATGAAGAATAACATCATTAATATTAATATATATGAAAAATAAGAAAAATTATAATGTATTTGATAGAAATTAATAACTCAAATAATGTACTAATAAAAGTAGTTACAATAATATAATTTTGGATAGGAGAAATATGGATTTAATTATGAATACTTAGATGAACAATGGAAAAATTTGATAGAAAGATGCACAGTCTCATTTAAAATTATTTTTACGAAAATGAGTTATTGTATAAAAAACAAAATTATTTAAATAATATACGAAGATACAGATTTGATTGGTATTCATAAAATAATTTTTAAAGATATAATAGAAAATATTATGTTTGAAAATTGACCAATTCATATTTGAGAATGAATTTCTAATTTTTTTAGTATAATAACTCTCTCCAAAATAAAAGGATCATGAGATTCTCATAAAAATTGTTTTTTTTCCTGCAAAATTCACAACTGACTTTTGTTACTACGTGTTAGGAAACGATTTATTACTTTTCAATGAAAAAAATATTTTCAACAATTTTTATGCTGTATAATATTTGATAAAATTTATGTATACAAATTTATCGTTTAAAACTAAAATAAATATATTTATATATAATTATTTGTACTGTTAGCCGTTTAAAATTAAAATTTTATGTAACGCGTGTGTATGAATTTAGTGTGAGAGTATACATTGGGCAATAATAAAAAAAATTACAAGAGTTGGGTATGCATTGTTTTGCATGGGCCTTAAAACTAGTGACAAATATTGAGTACATGTGTCCAACAGGAGCGCTAATAATGGATATTTACCTGATGGACCTAACCTATACACACAGTCTCTAATGGGCCGATAAGGTTAGTATTATGATCCTTAAGCC